TATCTATTGGTTTCAGATATTTTGGGTTCAGATAAGATGTAAACTTTCCATACGAATGTAGCTGGTCCTCGTCTTGATTTAGATGTGTTGATCGATGTGTTGATAACAGTAATGTTGTGACATTACTGTTATATGCTAATTAGATTTTCCATACACAATAAGAACACAAACAAACATTACAAAATATACATTTCAATATGAGGAAATTGCAAAAAAACTCATGCAACAAAAAATTACAAAAATAAAAAATATATATATATCACAATATGTAACAAAAATATTCACTTTTTATCAGATCCCAGTTTCGGCCAGCGGCTGCCAACCTAGTATGCACATATACATGTTTGTGTTTGTTTATTTTTCTGCATTGGGAGCAGCATATCCCGGAATGTTTGCTCCGGATTTTATTGGTTCGTGCCGGGATTGAAGAAAACCCCGGACCTTGGTTCTGCTTGGTTTGTCAGAACGTCATCCACCACAGATCTGCACTTTAAGAACTGTTCCGGACTAAGGCGTTCGCGAGACTACAGCGAAAGGGATTATGTTGCGATTTGCTGCAGTAACGTAGTCCCTTTAAGAACTGTTCCGGACTAAGGCGTTTGCGAGACTACAGCGAAAGGGATTATGTTGCAATTTGCTGCAGTAACGTAGTCCCCAGCGAGTCCACTTCTTCTTCGTTCTCATCAGAGACGTCGTCGGAGTATGGAACTCAAACGCAGTCTCCAGAACAGCAACCAACACCGCAGCACCTAATGCCACATATTGCTGTTCCAACTCTGGATTGTGCATCATTCTTGCAATTCAATTGCAACGGACTCCAAGGCAAAATAGATGAGATTTTGGAATTTATGAGTCGGAGGAATATTAAGATCGCAGCGGTGCAGGAAACCAAGCTGAATAAAAATTGCAGCCTACAACGTTGTTATGGTTACAACTAAGGAAGGATCGCACTAGAAGTGGAGGTGGGGGATTAGCGTTCCTGTTACACCATTCTTTCAGTACAGACCTATCTCGCTTGAGCCAGTCTCTAGTGACCCATACATGGAATGTAAGGGGGTAGCAGTCAAGTGTGGTAGAGGTCCTTAAAGTGCATATCCCGCCGATTAATATCTGTGAATCGCGTAATTGCCTGATATTAGCCCATTATTGGTAGGCAATAACCGCCTGGTACCAGAGGATTTTAATGCCCACCATAAGTTGTGGCATTCTGTCTCAGGTAATGACCAGAGGGGATCAGCGCTGGCAGAGCAGATTGACTGCTCCACATTCTGCAGGGTTAACGAGGATGATCCCACCCGAATAAGAGGAGAGTGTCACAGTTCGCCAGACTTAACCATTGTGTCACCCGGTCTGATAAATGACGTGACTTGGCAACCCGTCATTTCTCTTGGCTCAGACCATCTCCCGATAATCGTCTCCATAAGCAGGTCGCCCGACTTCATAACCTCTGAACGCCGTACTTTCCTTAACCATGGGAAAGCTCACTGGCCAGAGTTCAGAGAATTCACCAACCGCCGCTTCAGAGAACTGCCCAACCCTTCTGATGTTTGGGTATCAGAAAGGATTTTCCGGGACATCATCAAAGCTGCAGCCGCTCGCTATATACCCGCTGGTCGAATACCCGAGGTAAGACCAAACTTCCCAGCAGAGGTAGCGGGATTAGCAAATGAGCGTGATGATCTCCGTCGCACCAACCCTACTGATCCTAGAATCAGTGATTTGACAGTGGAAGTCAACCAGAAATGTTGTGGGTAACGGTCTCGCTCTCAACCCTGGAAAAATGGATGATAGGATGGCGGAGTATTTTAACCGACAATTATTCGAGCACGTCGTATCAGATCTCTTCCCGCCGAGGAGGAACTACCACAGTTTACGATGGGTGATGTTGCAAATGTCATCCGTAACGCTAAGTCATCCAAAGCGTTGGGCCCGGACGGAATTTCAGTGGTAATGTTGAAGCAGTTGGATACGCCGGGAGTCGAGTACTTAACGAAAGTTTTCAATTTGTCGCTAGCCACCCACATAGTGCCCGAAACCTGGAAAACGGGCCGGGTGGTCCCGCTACCGAAGCCAGGCAAGGATGCCAGTAAAGGCGAATCGTACAGGCCGATTTCGCTTGTGTCGCCAGTAGCTAAGATTCTTGAGGCTTTATTCCCCCCAGCATTAGAGGAAGCTATACAGTGGCCAACCACCAGCACGGATTCCGTCCTCAACATAGTACCACAACAGCATTACACGCCATTTCAGACATATTAGTAGGCCCTTGACCTATCAAAGGCATTTGATACGGTCAATCATGCCATACTGAAGGACGCTACCCTCCGGCCAAGTTTGAAACGTCGGATAATCAACTATATGCGTGGACGCCAGTCGTACGTGGAATTCCGGAACAAGAAGTCCATAGCCCATAGAATGAAACAGGAAGTTCCCGAAGGTGGGGTGATATCTCCGGAACTGTTTAACATCTACCTTTCCGGAATTCCTCTCCCTCCAGACGGCATAGAGATAGTAACGTATGCGGATGATTGTACGATCATGGCGTCGGGTCCAGTGGTCGATGACATATGTGAAAGGCTGAACTCCTATCTCGCGGAGCTTGCCGCATACTTCCACGAGAGGAATCTTAAATTATCCGCCACAAAATCAACGGCCTCACTTTTTACCACATGGTTTGCGGAGATGAAAACACAGCTGAATGTTCAGGTCGAGGGGAATCTAACACCAACCACGAACTGCCCCAAGATTCTTGGGGTCACGTTCGACAGCATGTTCAAGTCGTCCGCGCAAGCCACAGCTATCTGCGACAAGATGAAAAGTAGGAACAAGGTCCTCAAGGCGCTATCCGGCAGCACTTGGGGTGCGGGCAAAGAATCCTTATTGGCCTCTTTTAACGCGATAGGTCGGTCTGTGGTCAGCTATGCGGCCCCAGTGTGGTCTGCGAATTCTAGTGCTACGCAGTGGAAGCACATCCAGACCTGCCAGAACGCTGCCCTGAGAACTACGACAGGATGTCTTCTCATGACACCAGTGGGCCATTTACATGAGGAGGTGAAAGTCCTTCCCTTACGTCAGCATAATCATATGCTTTCGTTGCAGTACTTGCTTGGGCGTTAGCGTGAGAGTTATCCCAACCATCATATGGTGGATAAATCTCCCCCACCCAGGCATGTCAGTAAGGACATACATGATCTAGAGTGGGAGGTCCAGCGCTACAAAAGAGAACCTCTAGATCAAGAAGCCTATCAGGCAGGTCTGAAAGTAGTAATTATAAAATGAATGGCGTCCTCGGAGTCCACTCCCCATCCATTGCAGCTGAAAAACGTCAGCTGCCTAGACAAAGTAGGGTAGTTTTGACGCAATTACGTTCAGGATGGTGTAGTCGTCTCAATTCGTATTGGGCTCGAATACAGGCCCGCACAATACGCTGCGCCTCTTTAATTGTACAGCCAAACCTACCCAACTCACTCCAGAAGAATTTCTAAACCTGGAGCCGGAACCAGATTGGCACTTGCATGTAATACTGCTACAACAACAACAACTAAGATAATGTACCGTACCGGAAGACAACCCTTAAAAAATATTTTAGTAATACTGTACTGGAGCACAACGAGAATTGTACTGTACCGCAGTCGGAGCACTAAAAAACGTAGTGTACTGCAGTCGTAGCACTACAAAATCGTAGTGTTCCGCAGTCGGAGCACTACAAAATCGTATTGCACCACATGGCGGAAAATTAAAAAATAATAATAATGCACCGGTAGTGTACTACATATGTTTTGTTTACGATTTGTGAGATGTTTGATGTTTTTGATAATGCAAATATTACTAATACAATTCAATATTATAAATAAATATTTTTGTAAATTTTGTTTGTCATGTATGTTGAGATTTGTCGCGAAATTGAAGATAGTAGAAAAATATGATAATAGGTAGAAATAATAAAAAACGACCAAATCTTAAATCCATTAAATTGAAATTTTTAATTTTCCGCGAAAAAGGGTATTTTAGTGGTTGCGTTGTAATGGGAAATTATGCAAATAATTTACCTGATTTTTTATGGTACCCAAAAATCAATGATGTAGGCGTAAAGAAAACTAAATATTTTACAAAGTATGGCTGAGTGTTTAAAATCAGTTTTATGATTTCGGTGTAAATAACACCAAAACACAGGTACTACATCTAGATATAATATACATCTTATCATTTTATATACATTATAATCATTTTATTCATTATCAATGCTATTATTCCAAAAATCAAACATCTAATATAAATATTTTTTCAAATCATAAAAAGCACATTGATGCCAGTACAATTTTATTAATATGGTGCATGTGGTACACTACGGGTTTTTAATGCTCCGTTTGCGGAACACTGCGTTTTTTTAGGGCTCCGACTGCGGTACACTACGATTTTTTAGTGCTCCGACTGCGGTACACTACGATTTTTTAGTCGTTGGGTTCCGGTACAGTATCACTTTTTAGTGGTAGCGTACCGGTACACTACCGCTAAAATTGATACTGTACCGGTTCAGTTTGCTATATTTGTGTACTGTTTATTTTCGAATGCTGCAATATAAAACTTTACAATAGTATTCATCATTTTTTTCACGTTTTTAGCCGTATTTTTTTTTTTTTTTGAATTTGTCCGAATCATTAAAATCAGAACAGCGGTTCTTGAGTTATAAGCTTATTAACTAACACAGCTTTCTTTTATATATATAGATATATATTTTAGTATAAAACATTTGTTGTAACCTTTTTGAGATCACTAAAATAAAACAATGCATACGAATACATTGATTGAGTACTTTTGTAACCAAAAGTTGAACATTGGTAACATACATTAAAATTCATGAGTTCAACTTTTGCATTGCAACGGGACGGTTTTAGGCAGGCGCTTTAAAAATAAATTGGAGTTTGTGAATTAAAATAATAGAATTTCTGCAACCTTAATAAATTTCCTTTCTAACAATATATATATTTTTTAATTTCCTCTAGAATTGATGAGATATTTACATGGCTCTTGGAAGTTGCAGATGATACCAAAGACTTAGTTGATGGCGGTAAAATAGTGTGGTCTGTTACCTACATATATGACAATCCACGAGAATCTTCATTGGAAATTGCTCCAGATGACAACAAAAAGAGAATAATAGCTAAGTTAGAAGTAAACAAAGACGACATCCAAGCCGTTTTACCTATGGCGAAGGTATGTTAATATATAATTAATGTATTTCTACCAAATATTATACTTGTAGAAATGATATTTAAAAAATTATTCCATCTCATTTTTGTAAAGAAGCCTATAGTCCATCGAAGTTACAAGAATCTTTAAACTATTCTCGAAAATATCGTACAACTAACCAATATAGCCTATTCGAAAATAATGGAAAAAAGAAGAAAAAATAATCAAAATAAGAAAGAATAGACATAACGCATAGCTCTATGTAAACTCTCAACTGCATTTTTAACGTACAATATTCAATGCACACAACTTGCTAAGGGAAAATTACCATTGGAGAAAAAACGAGCTTCAAAAGCCAATTTGCTACCAAGGAAGAAAACCAGAAAATAGGAATTAAATTGTCAGGTTTATTACCAAAAAATGCTTTGGTTTCCCTACATTTATACTCACTTCATTTATGATCAACCACCAATTTAACAACATACTTACACCGAAGAAGATAACTTTAATGTTTGAGAAAGCTTTTCAATTAAATTGGCAAGGATAATTTTGTCGAACAAATACGTCAAGTGACAAAAGCACAAAATAATCGCCAAGTGACAAAAGGACACAACAATGAACATAGATGACCAGTTAGAAATTGTGACATATATGACATACGTTCCCGGCGTATTATACATACGTCGTAAACCTAGCCAAATCATAAGAGTTTTTGACAGACACAGTAATGGGTATTTGTCAAGATTATTATAATAGTTAATGCCCTCATGTCCATCATCTGAGAAATCTTTCCACGCATTTCATAAACAGTAGCCTTCAGTTTGGTTGCAGGGAGTAAAGCTAATAACCTAAGCACCGAAAGTTAAAGCGTTTACAAGCGTCCTCAGGGACACGTGGTACACGAATATTACTATTGGTCTGATCACGACCAAATTCACAATTAGAGTACTTCAAATTACTTCTATGAACATTCTTGGTATTGTACGCCACATCATTCTTCTTCAGTATAGACATTTTTTTTGTTTGATTTTCTACAGCATTGTCATTTATGAGCAAATTTTCTTAGAGTTGCGTTCTTCAGTTATCATCATCCCTTACATTTAAATATGATTTATGTGCAACGTCGTCCTTAGAACCGCAACAGGGTACCTCCTCATGATACCTGTCAACCATCCACATGAGGAAGCGAAGACTTAAAAAGTGCGACAGCATAATAAAATGCATAAATAAATGCATATTTATTCATATTTAGCTCGGATTGACAGCAGTGCTCAGAATCGCTGCACCCTTTAAACTTCCCAGCCAAACCTATTCACCTAACTCCTATGCCGCTATGGACCCAAACTTTTTGAATTTGCAGTTAGAAACATAAATGTCTTCTTAAACATAAAAGTCTTCAAAATATTACAATGGGGGCTGGTGCCTTTATATGAAGAGGATGGCACGGACGTATTCAAAGTGGTAAAAAAAATCTCGCACTATAATACAATTTGTATAAATGGATAGGAAGGAAATATAAACATTTTGTGCCATAACATGTAAATATAAAAACCCGATTTTATATTTGAAGGATTCAAGAAGTAATTATTTTTCAAAAAAGAAAAAAAGGACCAATCACTGAAATTGTTCCATATTTATTTTTATACCCTCCACCATAGTATGGAGGGATTTTCAAGTTTCGCATTTGAATATTGTAATAGCTTGTGACAAAATTTGCCTATGCAACCCTAATATACGACTACATCCGGTATATTTAAGACTTTAACAGAATTTTTAACGGATTTTATTTTTTTGAAAATTGTTAAATTTGTACCAGCTTTTTAACTTGTTTTCTTTTTTGTGAATCATAGTCTCACAAGAAGATTAAACGTTTTACTAATTTTTGATTTATTTATTCACATTTGTATTATATGTTTTTTTCGCATTAAAATATTGGCTTATAAACTTGGTAAATATAATAAAAAATCCCAGCAAGAATTTGGAAGTGAGTTTCTCACGTCCTACCTTAAGACGTCACTTCTGCAACGCTTATTATTTGATAGATGCGACAGTTTGTATTTCCAATAACAAAACAACTGTTGTTTACTTTCTATTGTCATGGAGTTACTACTTTGTAGTGTAAAGGAAGATGAGGATAGGAAGAAGATAGATTTTGTTGCATTACACAAACAATTTCTTTAAATTATTTCAATTATCTTTTATCGAAGAATTAAAAGAAGACTTGGTTCTACTTGAGAATTATGTGACACAGTGGTGCAGTGATAAGCATGTTCGGTTTGTTCTCTGAACGTACGTGTTCGATTCCCAAGCCAGGCAACATCACATTTTTAAAACCAGTAAATTAATGTTATTTAGTAGTACTACGCGTAACAAATGAACGTTTATATTAAAAATTTATGTAAAGTAGATCAAACCTTAAGAGCAATTATAATTTGAAACCAAAAAGAACTAATATATGAGAGGAATATGGTACCCAGAATCGATTTCCCCAAAATTTGACGGAAGCATTTACATCTTTCGATTGTGAAAATTTTAAAAATAAAGCCTATGGCTATATTTGATCCGATTTCACCAAAATCCATACTATTTGAGCTGTAATTGGGTGACGAACTTTGAGCTGGGTGTGACGAACTTTTTTAAAAAAATTATCCAAATCGATTCAACCTTTTTCATCTGACTCCATTACCATTACCAACGAACGACATTTTATTTTTCAGCTATATATATTACAAAGTAGGCGTGGCAAGTTCCTCAGCCCCAAATAAATGCTTAGGGTTGGAGGGAAAGTCAACAACATCTCGTGTAATAATATTCAAACCTATATCTTCATTTTTTTTGGCAAATATAAGGGATTTAGATAAATCGAAATAGTGGGCGTTGTCAATATTTCTTTCCATTGTTATATAGGAAAAATATTAAAATATCTATGTTTACTAATATTACTACTCAACTTTATAATTATTGTAATAACAATATTTTCTTTATTGATTTCATCTATATATTTAAAAGAAAGTTGTGTAAGTTACTACGCTTTTAACTCAAAAACCGCTGATCTGATTTTAACGATTCAGACAATTTTAGAATTGTCTCTTGACAGAAAAAGATAAAATCGAAAAAATAAAATTCATTTTGACTTTTTAAATGTACAATCGTAATTAAAAAAATTTCCATTTAGACTTACTATTTTCAAATGTACATTTTTAGTGTTTTTTTTTTTCTTTTTGAATTCTAATATGATGTGTAGTATTTTAGGGTAGTACAAAGCGACAACGGACAAAACTGTTATATATAGATGTTACGCATTTATTGGGTAGGTGAAACTATACGAATAATATAATTTCAGAAGAAGATACATAATAAAGAATTATTTCCACCATATAAAAGAAAGTTATGTTAGTAACTACGCATAACTCAAGAACGGCTTAACAGATTTTGACAATTCCTATAATTTTGGAATGGTAGGGTAAGTGCGCCTAAGTTCGGCATGTCCCAGTAGTTTTGAAAATTAAACTTATATAACTAAGAATAGAATTGACCAAATAATTAAATAATTGCAAAAAAAACGTCAGCAGTGTTCTCTGCTCTCTTTCTGTAAAAAAACAATGAGCTCCAATCATTTATTACTAGAGAATAACGGTTTTCGTCAGTGAGTGTCTTCCAACGCGTACGATAGTGCTTGTTTGTAAAGAAAAAAATAGTGGTGGCGTCAACATAATAATCGATTTAAGTAAATCAAATTTAAACTTTTGGAATTAGAAATATTTTATATTAGTAAATAAAAGTCTAAAGATCATTTTATAAATTAAAAACATACAAATCAAACATTTTTCTGTTATTTTATTTAATGACGACATTAGCAACAGAAAAAAGTGATTTGTTAGTAGTCGGCAGGTGGAGCCGATTAACTGAAAAATATCATTTTTGACCAATTTCACCAAAACTTGAGAAAAGTATTAAAAAATAATCCAAAAACTACTCAAATAAAAAAATTGTTTTGAATCGGCAGTTGCTTTTATTTGTGCTTTTTGACCAACTTTTCTAAAATAAGTAGGTCTTTTAAACAGCTATTTGACGTTTTAGATAGCGGGGGCATTTTTGAAAAAAATGTTGGCTATCTTAAGAAAAAAGATCAATTCTCAAAATCCAAATTTAAGAAAGGTATTCATTTTTATTTTAATTGAAAATCCATACGTTACTGAATGTTACCATACTAATCTTGATTTTCTACCTATATTTGGTTTAGAATGATAATTAAATAAAACAATATTTAAAAACGAAAATAATTTCAAATTCTGGATTAAACTGTGATTTATTAATGTTGCATAGTTTTATACTATTTCAAATAAAAAAATTTGCAAAATAATATTTTTTTATTGAAATATCATAAGCCAACTAATGGCAAATAGACATGCCGAGCATTAGAAAATGGCGCCGACTACTGGCAAAAAACTAATATTTTAGTAAAATTGCAAATCTTGCCAATTTAATAAAAACAAATTCAAATTTTGTTTATTATTTCGAAAAGTAAACAAAATTTGAAACCTGAACAACTTTATTTTTCTGTAATTGAAAGATTTAACTCAGAATGTTGAAAGATTGAATAATCGAAAATCCAAAAAGTGCCGACTACTGGTACACTTACCCTATCTTGGCAAAAAAAAATCTCATGAAAATATGCCCATAAAATGTGAATAAAAACTTATTTGGCTTTTTTTTAATTTCACATACTATATTGATGTGTACATTTTTTATACCCCCACCATAGTATGGAGGGCATATTAAGTTTGTCATTCCGTTTGTAACACCTCGAAATACACATTTTTTCAGCATAAAATTCCATGTCGATTTAGCGATGTGAAAATAGGCCATGTAGGTCCACGTTTTGGTATAGCCCCCATGTAACGGTACCTCCCGATATTCGATATTTTGATGATTTTAGCGACGTTATTTACCGGAATAGTTTCAAATTTGGTATTTGAAGTATGAACAATAATCAAACAGAATTGAGTGCGCAATACTTTTAC